ACACCACTGCATTTAACTGTAAACACTACACATAAGTACACCACTGCATTCCAATGGCAACAGTACATACAAATACGCCAATATATGCACACACATATTCTATATGAAAACATGCTTACACTGAAATGCACAAACGCAACTCTGCAAGGATGGGGAAATGGTAAATCCCCAGCTGACATAGCATCATGGGAGTTTGACAGATAGGGATGTACATTTTGGCCACCCTTAAGCCAGAGGGGCCCAAAAATATTTCCTGCACCAGAGCCCTCTTTTAATTAGCTCCTCCACTGAAAGAAGACCCTGTTCATGCATGCTGCAATATATGGATTGGTTACTTCAGGAGAGTATTTTTCCGGAAGTCTTGAAAGATGTAGAGATACATGAGAGGTATCAATGACGTGAGAGCATCCTTGATTTTTAAAATCTGTTCTAGGATGACTTGGTACCATGAATTAATGGGGCAGTACCCCGGCTTGTACACATGTTAAGCTGCCTACATTTGTTGTCTGCCTTTACAGTTAGATGAAGCAGTCCACCTGTTCCAAGGTGCTGCCCATCTTCCAGGCTCCCTTGCAGACCCACTGCTGGAGGTTTATTTCTCTCGACAGCTAAAAGCTGACACAGTGTCAAAAGTGGTTCTATAATACATGGCTTTCAGAACCTTGGGCAATCTCTACACTTGAATGTCTACAAAGTGGGGAGATTGTCAAATGCCTTGAAAATCTTTCATTACACCCATGCGTCACTCAATCTTCCATAAGATCATGAACACTTTCAAACAATTCCACTCAGTGAGCATATTTTTTGCATTTATGGAATATGCCTTAGTTTGATGATAATACACCACCATGGAGTGTGACCACTCTTATATTTACTTTCTTTTTTCTCCCCAAGGTGATTCATGCAGTAGGAGCAGGGCCTGACTGCACACATCTGTAACTCGAAATCCCAGCAGGTGAATGTGACAGGAATATACCTTAATCGCAACATCAAAGATAACAATATCCTACTAGATAGAGAAGATGTACTACTGGACCTTAGCACGGTTGTACAAAAGAGAGAAATTGTAGTCAAAGACAAGCCAAGATAGGATAACGCGTAGACAGAATAATCGAATAAGTAGCCAGAGTGAGGAAAACGAAATAACAGAAGGACGAATAAACTTGCCAGGTAAGGGTTACAGAAATACTCTGAGTCAATAACTAGCCAAGAAAAAACAGATAGGAACAAAGAAAGCCAAACGCAGGTATTATGAACAGAAACCACAATAGGGCACTGTTAATACGCCCAAAGTATTTTATAGTGTTAGGTGTGATTTGACCCAAAAACTTGTGTGATTAGGGATGCAGGATAAACGTGAACCACATCGAACCAGAAGTGACGTTTTCACAACGAAAAGTTGGCAAAATTATGGACTCACATATGCAAACAGGTGGATTTCACGTTTTTATAACTTTACATGAAAAAAAGCTTATTGTATAGAAAAACAATAAACTGTTACATGATTTTTTTTTAAATGATAAAATATGCTTTAGTAGTGAACTGACATTTACTAGAAAAAACATACACACTCCGTTGTGCATTATCATGGTCATGGTTGTCTGCTATAAAACCATTTTACAGATATACCTTATACCATTTGTGATGCACATAAAGTCATAAGAAGTTTTGACTATTATGATCAGACCATGATAGCCACTTGCAGTGTGCTATAGTTGAGATGTAGCACTTAATACAAATTGTACCATTATGTCGTTGATAGATGGGAAAGTGGTCCTTTTTTGAGACCGATTCCTACAATTTTTGCAGAGGTGGAATAACCATTCACACACGCACATATATATGATTTCCTAATCACAAGAGTGGGAGCATTTCTTCTCTTTTTTCATATTCTCCTTTACAGAAATATACTACACTATATTTTGCTGTACTCTTCTCTTTCATACTACCACTAAGGACATATCTACTTCTGAGAATATTGCAAGATGATACCCCCTCTTTTTTTTATAGGCATGTAATATTTAGTCAGATAATGAACTGTGGTCCTTTTAGCAGTCTACCATGGAATCCAGGTGATACTTAGCTTAATACAAGCAACTGGGCAGTGGGCAGCTACATTCTCTATGAACATTAGTGACAGCTGCTATAGCTGCCCAGTTGCTAGTCTTTTATTACTGAAAGCACTGGCTGCTCGCTGTTTAGCAGACATGCCCTCACTCTTACCATGGTGTATGGGGGAGGAAAAAACTCCTACTTGTTCTAATGTGGGGATCATATTGACCTCCATACGCTTATTTATTTTTTACCTATTTAATGTGGCAGCTGGGTAGCAAGTGCTAACCAGCCTCTTCATTATTAACCCTGAAGTTCTTTTCTTTAACTGTCCTAATTATATCCACATTATTAGATGCAAAATTATGAAAATGCATTTTAATAATTTGCATGTTTTTATACTACATCAGAATATCTATCTGTCTATCTAGTAAATATGGTTAAACAAATAGACAGGAAAATATTTAAAATTGCTCTGGCACTTAAAGGGACAATCCAATATTAAAAACATTTGTGTTAGATTTAGGTGCTTCCCTGTTTCATTCGTAAAAGAAAACAAGCTTGTCTTTTTTCAGCTTTGTGACAGTTTCCTTGATACGCCTAATGCACTCTTATTGAGATCACTTGTAAAAATCTAATCTAATCCAATCCTTCTCCTAGCAAAGCATTGGCACCTACAGCATATGCACAGCAATCACCGCACTCCACCAATTAGATGGTACTTGTAGCGAAAACAGTGCCTTCTGCTTTGAACAAGTATTCAGACCGAGTGAGGTAGGAAACTCTCCTGGTTGTCAATAAGGATGCAACTAAAGACTTTTTTTAAAGTGTTTTTTCCATTGAAAAACAGCACTTTTATAAAATATGAAAAAGAGGATCATCAGTTAGCTCTTAAAACACTCCAGAAAGCGGATGTGCATTAGGGGAGCAGTGTGTTCATTAAAGAGGTACCAAATTTCGCAATCTGTGGTTTATTGAATTACCCTGCCACCCTCCACCACCTCATATTTTGGGGGTTTCTACCCCTGTGAGTATATGACACAGGTTCACTTGAATTGTTCTAAGAGAACTATCTTAACAATTGTTGAAATGTATGCTATGTGACCATGCTGGGACATGTACTTGCAAGTATCATGCTTTAACACAGAGAAATAGACAGAGGTATGAATGAGCCTCAGGGACAGAGAATCACAAGCTGTTCGAACTCTACAAATACAATGTACTGTATAACGTGGAAAAGTGAATCTGTACTTATTCTGAGTACTTGTGTGATGCATGTAAGATGCCACCTTCTGTACAAGGTGAATAAATACATGACACAAATAAAATAGTAAAAAAAAAGACACAGGTTTGCAGGTTTGTTATAAATACAGAGGGTCTTCAGAGACCAGGATATAGCTGGGATTATGCACATGATGTTTTGGTATGGTTTTTTTCCCACTGAAATTTAACAGGATATATTTTTTGGTAGATATAAAAAGGAAAGAGAGCGGGGGTGGAGCTTAACCTCTGAGCTGCACAGGCGCACTCCTGTAGAGCTCCTAAGACTTGGCGACTAATCCAGCTCAATCTAAAGTCCCATTGTGTCATCCACGCCAGTAATCACTTCTCACTTTACTCTTACTCAGTAGACTACCAGCTGATGCCTTTCCAGTTCACACAAACAGGCAAGAAAACATGGAGAGGGTCTAGGGCCTAACATGATTTTCAAGCCTTGGAGGCTGCCTCACTGGGCCCGGGGCTGAATGCTGACGGTCCGCGCAGTTCCCCGACAACACAAGGGAATTGTGCAAACCCCACCAATGCTATGGGGCAACGGTCTCAGAAACCGCAATTGGGTGCTAGTAAGGACAACCGGGACATCAGCACTATGCTCCCAAGATGGCGGCCCAAGTAGATGCAGACATGGAGCCCAGAGGCTCAGGTGTGGACCAAGGTGAGACGCTGGAGTCCTCTATCCCTGTGTAACTCCTTGAGCTGGAGGCAGAGCGGGACGCACTTGCATCAGCTACCAAACAGGACATTCTAAACCCACTGCCAGAATTGAGACAAATGTCTAACGCAGACCTGGATTAATGGATATTACCTGGGTTATTTACTACAGTGTGAATTTAAAAATTAAAACCAGAGTAGTCAGACTGAAAGCATAGCTGACTTAAAGAGTTACCTCAACCACTATAACTACTTATGGTTTTAGAAGTGGTCATGATGGTAGAAGTCTGTATTTGGAATTTTTCTGCTTAAAAAGCTGCTTATACTGAGATATTTGCCTTTTTGTGCCTTGCGCTAGTCGCATCACTGGCACACATTATTTGGGCAACCAGGAACTATGTTCCAGGCTGTCTAATGTCAATTCCGTGTAAAATATACATCTGTTGTCAGCATGTACAGCATTCCCCCATACAAGGGTTTGTCTCCCTGTCAGCCGCAGTGAGGGAGCTGTGTTCTCTCTGCTCAGCTCCATCACGCACCATTTGCTGATGCCGGGAGCCGGAATATTAGACAGCCTGCGCGGCGAGAGGGAGCAGAGCACAGGGAACACAGCTCCCTCACCGCGTCTGACAGGGAGATAGGTGCCTGCCTCACTGAAGCCCTACTGGACCCCAGGGACAGGTCCACGCCAGCTCTCCAGGTAAGGAGGCTGGGTGGACATTTTAAAATTTTGAAAAATAATAATAATTTGTGTGTGTCTGTGAGTGTGTGTGTGTGAGTGTATGTGTGTGTGTCTGTTAGTGTATGTGTGTGTGTCTGTGTGTGTGAGTATATGTGTCTGAGTATGTGTGTGTGTGTGTCATTGTGAGTGTATGTGTGTGTGTCTGTGAGTGTGTGTCTGTGTGTGTGTATCTGTGTGTGTGTGTATCTGTGTGTGTGTGTGTGTGTCTGTGTGTGTATGAGTGTGTCTGTGTGTGTATCTGTGTGTGTGTAACCTATGGGCCAAAGCTTGTTTACCCACTAATAGGGAACGTGAGCTGGGTTTAAACCGTCGTGAGACAGGTTAGTTTTACCCTACTGATGATTGGGTTGTCGCAATAGTAATCCTGATCAATATGAGAGGAACCACGGGTTCAGACATTTGGTGTATGTGCTTGGCTGAGAAGCCAATGGGTGAAGCTACCATCTGTGGGATTATGACTGAATACCTTTAAGTCAGAATCCCCCCTAAAAGTGACGATATCGCAGTGCCGAGGAACCTCGGTGGGCCGACGATATCCGGCGCCCCCTTCACCAGGGGGGGAGCCGGTGGACAGAGCCGCTCTCTTAGACACCGGAAGGCAGACGGAACGAGGGCGTGCCATCTCTCTCCAAGCGCATTGCACGTTTTCGTAGACTTTTGGTTTATACTGAGTTAATAGCAATAGCATAGGTAGCAACAGCATCTCTGATAATGTATATCAACTTAGTTTCTCTTAAAGCTTATCAATTATGTGTTAGTAACACAGGCTAGATAGCTTCCATTCTACTTGGTACACTCTGTTCTTCAAAGTATCTAGCTATTATAGCTATCTGAAGGACATATGTGTAGGGTGGATTAGCTAAACTACTACAGTCTCCAGATCTGCCTTTTTTATGGCGTGATTTTTGATCTAACATTTGGATCAACTTGGTATCTAGGACGAGATTATATAGAAGTGCTAGATAGCTAGATCACTTTTCACAAAACGCTCAGATACCCACTTAGAGTAACTTATGTAATTATACCAGGTTTAACAATAAAAGTGGGTTCCAGATCTCACATTGACTCACTGCTCTCCATTCATATTTAATGGGCTGGAACAGTGGATGCAATTTCTGAGGCTACACAATATATTTATATATCTGATTATAGTAGCCTGCTTGCATTATTTACACCAATTTAGGTTTATATTGTTCCTTTTCATCTTTTCCTCTCTTTCACGAGTTTATATGTGATATGATTTTGTAAATATGTTACACTTATGTTTATTATTTCTGTTCTTATTATCATTTAATTTTTAAAGATACTAAAATAAATTGCAATTTTAGACCACACAGACCTACAGGGACTTCCTAGTGTCCTCTGGGCTTTGGCCCATAGGCTATTCTTTTCTACAAGCTTACAAATTGAGGGTTTCCCCCTTTTTTGTCCCTTAAAACACACTCTTCTTTGGGAACTAGTTCTTTTCTTTCATCATCTGTGTGTGTATGAGTGTCTGTGTGTGTATCTGTGTGTTTGTCTGTGTGTATGAGTGTATGTGTGTGTGCGTGCACCTGTCAGTGTGTGTGTGTGCACGCGTTTATATATGCATACAAGTATATATTATTATAATTTTTTTGGGGGGGAGAGGGAGGTGGTCTTGGGTGAGTTTCCACACTTTATTCCCCAGGACTTGACCCCTGCTACAGCTTATTGTATTTGTTCTGGTGAGTATAATAATTCCCTTCAGGTTTTTTTGCAGTAAACACTGTCTTTTCAGAAAAATGCACTGTTTACATTACAACCTAGGGATAAGTCCCCTGCCCATATTTTTTTATTACTGACCCTGTAGTGTTCCTTTCAGAAAATATCCAGAACAATGGGCAAATTGGCCCTATAACAACATATCTGGGACTGTTCTGACGTATGAATTAAGAGGACACATAATGTACCTCTTTTATGTAAATAGTACCAAGCATTCTGTAATGTACCCAGCAATCTGTAACCAGGCATGGTATGCTGTATATAGTAAATACTAACCAGTACTAAGTAATTCCATAACATTATATATCACAGAATCCGATTATATAATGCCAAGTAGACAAAATTACCAGTGTCTCCAAATTATCCAAAATAATTTCTCCATTTGCAGCAATTCCAATACATATGAAACATGAGAATAGCTCACTATTCTGAAAAACTTTTAATAAGGGACATTAAGTAAAATGCCCAATGCAGAAGCCTTTAATCCGGTATAATAAGGCACAAATGAGGAGTTTGTTAAAGTTCCCATCTGATAAACAATCTTGGTATCCTGTGGAGTTCTTCCAAATTAGAGTGAGAAAACTCCTAGGGTTTAAGTGCATTTCTTCTAAAGTAACAAAGTGCTATTTTGTTCTGTAAATAAACTTATTAGGACATAGATAGGTCACTAGCACATGCAGTTATTTTAAGGAGAACCTTTCCCTTCTGAGTCAAAACATTGGCTCATTTTCTGAGCAAAAGTCCCCATGAAAATCACCGGTGAAGTACATATGTGGCTGTTTTATAATACATTTTAGAGAGTTTTCATGTTGTATATCAACCTCTTACAATAATGTGAATATACATATATATAACTTAATCCTTTGTTACAAGGAATTAAAGGAGCAATCTAGGCACTAGTACCACCATGGTAGTTATGGTGCCAGGAGTGCCCAGGCACCATCCTGAGGTAAGTATTCTAACCATTTTCTAAGAATTTGAGACTTATCTGACAATCTCTGATCCAATTTTCTTTTGTGATAGCACATAATAATAATAGCTCCTATTTCCTCATTAGTGATGTCAATTCAGACAGTATTTTGAAAGGAATTTATTGATGGATGGCATCAAATAACACTCTCAAAACAAAAACAAAAAAACAACTAAACTTTGGATCAGTACCCAAAATGTGATCCTAGCTAAGTCCGAAGGAGTAACATTGTAAACACTGTATGTTTTATTATTGTGTTAATAAATCTAAGTATAAATCAAAATGTATAAACCTAGGTTAACCAAACAGCAGCTTATTTTTAAAATATTATCCTGACACATGGCTAGAACACAGTTGTTGAACTTAAAGCAACACTATAGCGCTAAGAATACAAACATGTATTCCTAATGCTATAGTTCTGGATTACCTATTAAGGTGTCCACCCCCACTAAACAGTAGTAAAAATTTGCTTACCTTTTCTCCATCGCCCTATGGTCTTGACAATGGATGACCCTGCCTCCATCTCTGAGATCATCAGTCTTGATGATCTAAGCCAATCCAATTATTTCTCGTAGGAAAGCACAGGGAGGCTACTGCGCATACATGCTGTACCAATTAGCATCTCCTAATAGAGATACATTTGGGAGCATTCAGTGTCTCCATGCAGGGAGTAGAGACGCTGAATGTAGGTTCTGCAAATATTGCAGGATCTAACCAAGGAAATCTAAGAAGTCTAGAGGTGTTACTAGGCAGCAATGTAAACACTGCCTTTCTCTGAAAATGCAGCATTTACATTGCTGAACCTGTAGGGACAGGCAAAAGATATCAGACCCACTACATTGAGCTAAAGTGGTTGGTGACTATATAATCATCAGAAAATTTTATATTATAATAGCAAAACTGGCAAAATTCTATGGGTTAATTAATTTTCCAGCTCACATATTTCGGATGTCCATTTGATGTCCGTTGCCATCATAAAATGTGCGCTGACACCGGATGTTTTTTTTTTTTTATGCATCAAATTGACATTAGAAACTCTTGTTCTTGGCTGGCTAATGATGCAGCCAAAGGTGGAGATATACCTCCAGCAGCTAAACGAATTATCTCAATTTGTGCAGCATTTCTTACTGGAACGCTGCACATACAGACTACCATGACCACTTCAAAACACTGGAATGGTCATGGTGTTTGGATTTACCCTTAAGTGTTTGTGATTTGTTGTTAATTGCCTTTAAAATTACATTAAAACTAATCGCCTGGTAGATCCACATATTTCAAAGCAGTCAACTTCACTCTTTCCAAGCAGCACAATGTGCCCAAGAAGTCTCAGCGGGAACACCACCACAAACATTTACATCCAGGAAAATTACTCATGGTTTGATTTATGAGCATGTTTCTATTTGTTTGAAATACATATAAAAATACTCTATTTTTATTCAAGTGAACTAAAAATAAACTAAGGATAATTGTAGGACATAGACACAGTAGCCATTTAAATCTACAATCAAAACACTTAAATAGATTGAGTCTGTATTTACTAGTTAACCAATGCTGTTCAAATTAAATGTACAAATTGTTTTTGAGGGCATAAATCGCTTCATTATGGGAGTAAAATGTGACTTTTTGTACATTCTTGGCATGTAATATTTTGCAGAGTATCACATACTCTGTGGATGTTTAAGCGCATGTTGGGAATACCAACAAGAAGAGATAATATATGTTTATGATAAGTGTAGTTTGAGTGTGAATATTTGGCGGTTTAAAATATTGTGATTCGGCCTCTAAGTGACCTCCACCTCAAAGGCATAATTTTAGGTTATGCACTTGGAGAGCAGCCTTAATGTTTTAAACATAATCCAATAAGTATAGTGTACAAACAGTTAGTGTGAGTTTTAACATGCATTTTCCCTGACTGCAAAATGGCTTTTTGAAAAAGATTACTAGGCAAGTCCCAAATTAAACCTTTAATTGTGCTGGAATGTAAGAAATATGTTTAAAACAAGACAACAGAATTAGAAATAGGATTACTGCTACATACAAAATCAAGTCAATATATTTATGATACATTTCAATAAGTCTGTTTATTAAACAGTGAGGTTGGCACACATATTCCCCAAATAGGTCTCTAAAATACATTGATTTATGCTATGTACAAGTTAAAGGGATGGCTAGCATATTTCTAAGTATATTCACTCAGCAGATCAAGCTCTGCAATAAAACCCACATATACGTGTATATTTATCAAGGCAAAGCAGTTGCATTTCTCTTGCTAAATAATGTACAATGTTTCTGGGGAATTTTTGCCCATTCATCCAGTAGATCATTTGGGAGGTCAGGCACTGATGTTGGGCGAGAAGGCCTGGCTCCAATCTTCATTCCAGTTAATCCCAACGGTGTTCGATGGTGTTAAGGTCTGGGCTCTGTGTGTGACCATCAAGTTCTCCCACACCATCCAACCATGTCTTTATGGACCTTGCTTTGTGCACTGGGGCACAGTCATGCTTGAATAGAAAAGGCCCTTCACTAAACTGCTCCCACAAAGTTGGAAGCATAGCATTAAGGTTTCCCTTCATTGAAATAAGGGACCTAGCCCAACCAACGAAAAACAGCCCCATACCATTATCCCTCCTCCACCAAACTTTACAGTTAGCACTGTGCAGTCAGGCAGGTAACATTCTTCTGGCATCCGCTAAACCTAGACTCAACCATCAGACTGCCACGCAGAGATGCGTGATTTGTCACGCCACAGAACATGTTTCCACTGCTCCGGATTCCAGTCGATCCGACATTTGG